AGTCCTCATTATTACAAACAGTACAATAAAAACCACACGATTTTACTGATCATCATCGCCGCTGTCATCGAGCAGTTCATCTTCTAGTACATCCTTGTTGTGACTGCTGTGTTCCAACTTTTGATAGAAGTCATGATAGATGGGAGGAAACTTTAACAGTTTCATTAAATCTGAGTATTTTTCTTTGCTCAGTTTTGTTGCTCCACAGTACAGTGGAGCCAAACTCACTTCACTAAGATTCGTTTGACGTCCGCGTTTCGCTAGCGAAATGAAACTGAATGATGCGTCATCATCTAAAGAGTATTTAAAGAACAGTTTGTATGGCTCGTTCTTTCTAAGTTGCAGCATTGCATATCCAGCCAGTTGACCTTCTGATCACTCTCATCCACTTTCCGATTTGTAATTAATTTCAATAAGGGCTCCACACTCTTGAAATTATCAGTGCTTAATCTTGCAACACTGAAGCGCTTCTTGATAGAGCAGTTCTCGATCAATTTGTACCACTGTTCTGCCACGAAGATCTCTGTGGATTTTGGCTTTGCTCTCTCAATTATTCTAAAATCTGCATCGTTAGGCAAATAAGAATGCCCAGAGACCATAAACTTATGATTCACCAGTTCAATACTCGTCGTCTGCGTCAAATGCATCCATAACAGTGCAATTTTTATATTTTGATTTTGGCCGCCGCACGAGTCGCTGAATGCTGTAATAGACGTAATATCCCTATTTGCCAGATTTTGACAATATGCCAATAAGCATGAACCGATTTCACCTGCACCTCGTGAGGCTGTTCCCTCATGCCATACATTCATCACTAACCCTAACCCTAACCCTGAATCACTGCATTGTCATTTTTAAGGTCATGAATGCCTAAATTATACACTGATAATTGCCGGCAATAATAAACTTCATTGGTTGTAAGGCAAGGCAATGACATGACCTTTTGCAGGTCAAAACAAAAAGATGCATGTTTATTGTCTTCATTTTCCTTTTCTAGTTTTAAGGATTGACGCGCCTTCTCTGCTTTGCGCAAATGAATCTCATGCGCTGCTTTTAGTTGAGATTTTTTGTGTTCAGTTTTTTCTATTTCAATGTCTGTTTTAAAAATGTCACATTTCTTGCACGTATCTTTTAGTGGCTGATGGAACGTCAAGTTAAATTCATGATTAAAAATGTCCCAAAGTTTCCACTCTTTTTGGGGTTCGACTGAATCCTGTATGCATTTTTCTCTATACATGTCGTACATGGTGGGTACACTCAAATGAGCAGGTAGAAAGCGGCGAGATGCACTGTGACTTCTAGTATAGTGACTTTCGTATGTGGGAAACATGCGAATATGATCTTTAATGCGAGTGATGTGTTCCTCATGAATGCGTTGTGTCTTGTAATCATATTTTCCTCGTCCATATTTGCCTGACACACCTCCGTTTTCCCGTTGGTTGACTAACGCACGATTTAGTCGACCGCTGCTAATGTCAAATATCGCTAAGAAGTATGGTTTGCAAACAGTAACGGGCTTATTATCTGCAAACACAGAGTATACTCGTGCAAAATCCTTTGCATGTTTTTTTTCATTTTTCGTAATTTTGTTTTTTCTTACTCTTGGTCGTCTACGTTATACTGTTGATTGTTTCACGCAGCCAGCAAGAAACAGATTTTGTGCATCAAAATCTCCCAATTTTCAAACAGAGTTTTAGTCTACTCTAAAGTCAAATTTTCAGCACATTTGTTTTCGCAACTGTGATTTATTAAATAATGTTCGTTTAATTTCTTAGCTTTTTGTAACGTTCCGCCATGCTTTACATTTTTGCTACCTGTATTTCGTAAGCGCTTAATCACATTTCTCTTCCAGTTCGTTACACAACGTTTTCGTTTTCGAGGGCGTTGATCTGTTACAATCGGAGATTCAGTTGTTACAATCGGAGATTCAACTGCTTCAACCGGTTAATTATCGGCTACAATTGGAGATTCAGCTGCTAATGTAGAACGTTCTGTCTGTATATCTGCTGCTAAGTTAGGATCTGCAATTGTTGTATCTGTAGCTAGAGATCTCTGAACCTTCTTGCACTTTATCAATGCCAGTGACTCCATGTGTGCGGATCGTGAATGCATGATTACACTATTCTACAATAAATATTTTTTAAATATTACATACATTCAGAATATTATTAGAAAGAATAATGCACATGTACACAACATGCATGCAAGTGCTCCCCTAGCTAGATGTTATTAAAGCCACAAAATTGACCTTTCTAAAGAGGCTGTAACTTTGGTAGTGACAGACCATTATATCTACTGTGTAACAAATCAATATTTATATTCCTGCTGAGAGCAATTGAATAAATCTTATATTATCGCTCACCAAACTATTTTAGTTTTGTCACTTTATAAAGTTTGAAAGTGCTGTATACTTCACTATATTAATATAAAACCATAATCAGATATTCATTTAAAGCATCTTACCTGTACAAATGTTATTCTTATTCTAATATAATAATAATAATTTTAAGAAAATTTGTAGTTTATGTGGTCTTGAATCTTGATTTCTCACATTAATGCACTATCAATGGACTTAGTCCACTATTACTCTCTATACCTGGTGATTTATTGTTAGAGTAAAAATGTGCTGCCCTCTGTTGAATAAGAAATAAATGTGTTATGGACTTGGTCCATTTTTGCTCTAAAAATATAGCAAATTTTTATCAGTTTTACATACATAAGGGTCATTTGAAAAAAATTGGACTTGGTCCACTTTTACTCTCATAGGCTCAAATAGTGCGTTATTTTTTTGTTTTATTTTAAAATGTCATTATTTCATCTTACTATTGATGTTTTTTTTATTAATATATATTTTTTTAAATATTTACTTATAATTTTTATCGTTTTGTATAAATGAAAGTAAATGAGTTTATAGTTAATACTTATAAGTGTGTATGCATAATACATGTTTATTTTATTTAGATGCTGTTCAGCGTAATCCTATAACATGTCGCGGTACAGATGCTAGGTTGCTTGTGCCATTAAAGCATGGCTTCGATTTGCAAAATTCGTGTGGAGGGAGGAGAAGAAACATGATTTTAACGATTTTGGTTATATAGTTTTATATATAGTTTCTGATTTTTTTGTATGTGTGTAATTGTTTAAACTATTTTGTAACGAATAAACATTTAACTAGAAACCAACAAACTTATTAACTTTAATACTTTTATGAAACTTTAAATACTTTTACATTTTCAATTTTCATAATAACGTTAGTTCAATGAGTATCAAATCATCCCAGTCGTCAAACAACGCGTTACTAACATTGTTGGAAGCAATGCTTGAAGTCTTAGGCCAATGTTAATAAAATGCACAAATGAGAATACAATATAAAACTAACAGTGTGCCAACGCAATGCCAACAACATTGAGTATACACAATGCCAACATAGGCCCGATGGGCAGCCGATCAAATGCCAACGCGATTCAAACCTTTAAACATTATTACGCCAACATAGCCCCTACACACCCATACCAACGGTGCGCCAATGTAAAGTCAACATTATACAAAATGCGTTATGCCAACGTGTCGCCAACTGTTTTACTTGGTTTGGCAAACGTTGCGCCAACAATTTAAAACCATAAGTTGTCCAACGTTGCGCCAACAATATTAGGTGTATGTTACGCCAACGTAGGCACGATGTGCAGCCAACCATATGCCAGCACGACGCCAATTTACGGCCTACCAAAACGCCTCGTTGGCCCAACAATCAGAAATACGTTAGGCCAAAGTTGAGCTAACTAAGTTGTGCTGCTCGGGATAATTGCGTAAATATATTTTAAAATTTAGGCCTGTTTTTCAAATTTACTCATATTAATTAAAATTGTCAATAATCATGTCTTTAATACATTTTAATGTCCTTAAACTAATGAAAAATACGCAAAGTTTAAACCAAAAAATTGCAGTCTATTATGCTAAAATCACGATGGCATGGTGAAAAACGATGGTATGTCTAAATGGCTATTCGTTGTTCTGCCAGTTCTTGTCCCGCTCTGGCTAGCTGCTCTTTTGCCATCACTGGCTAGCTACGGCTGGTTTAGGAAAAATCTTTAGAGCAAAACGGAGATTCACCAGCGTCGGTCAAGCACGGCAGCCTATACAGGATCATTATATCGTCCAGTGCGGGACCATTATATCCTTGCTGTCTGGGTTATGACACATACAAAGTTATACTAATGAGAGTTAAATATGGTGAGCAACAGTTTTCAAAATTTTAGATCAAATTAAAGAAGAAAAATCAAGCTATTCAGTAATAACTTTTGGCTAAAACAGGTGTGACAACATAATTTCAGCCATTAAGAAGTTTATATATATATATATATATATATATATATTTATATATATATATATATATATATATGTATATCTATATATATATATATATATATATATATATATATATATATATATATATATATATATATATATATATATATATATATATATATCAGGCAATGGCGGAAAGCTTGAGCTCTCTCTCTCGCCCCCACTCGTCTAAAATGGATACGGAACAATTTACAGCTCTCACAAAAGTATTTTTTTTTTTTCTCAAAACTTTAATTATCATTGTAGCTAAAATAAAATACGCAAAGTCAAAAAATATAATTTATCGGATAATAAACAGGCACAGTTTTTGCAAAGTCATAAAAAATTTTACTATTAAAGAATTTTTTTACTGTGCGACAAATGATGCTTGTAATGTGTATATTATTGTAATATTAACGTTACAAACATGTGCTAGTAACAAGTATAAAACAAAATTTTGTATTTAATTAGCAATTTTTATATAAATAAACAGATAGCTTGTTCATAAAAAATTTGTTTAGTGATTTTCTACAAATTTAAAGTTGCTCTGTTCTTTTAAGAACATTGAGCACTCTAATTTGTAGAATACATTTTTAAAATTGTTTAAGCACACGTAAACAACTGTCATTATAAATTTAACTAAAAAAAAAAATTACTTGTTATATTTTCTAGACTATCTTCGCTTATTTGTAGAACTGCTTTTTTGTTGATGCCTGTTCAGAAATGCTTAGGAAGGCGTAGAATTTTCAAATCAACTTTAATCATTAAAACGGTATTTTATTCGCTAAAGTCATAAGGTTCAATTCACATGAACAAAGCACAGATTAAATAGTATTTTAAATAAAAATAATTTGGTGAATGGATTTTAATACGAGAAATGAGTTTAAAAAGCACATTGAAATATTTGTATACATTGAGCAAGTATAAAATGGCGCTCAGGGAAGGTACTTTAAAAATCGGTAGAATTTTAGTCATTTTGCTTATTTTGCAGTATGTCATACTTTTAAGAAGCTATAATTAGAATAATATTTTAATTTAATAAGTTTTCAAAACTTATTTATAATAGCCAACAATAAGTTTTATTAAATAATAATAGAAAAAAGTGCATTGTTGTTTAGAAATCATAGTCTAAAAGTAATCAATAATAATCATAGAAAAAACATGCACTAGCAGTCAAAAGTTTATTTGTTTATAACGTGTTTATTTTCTGTTCGTTAATTCACTCCATTTAGAAAATTTATTCTATTTGTGTTTCTATTCTACATTTTATTGTGAAAATTATTGAATAAATTAACTACCTTAAACTAAATATTCTTGGCTCGTAAAGTTAAATTTTTTGCTTAATAATTGCTGTGACAAAAGTTGGTGATATCCACGTTAATATAGCTTTGATTTTGATTTTTTTAAATTATGAAATGAATTAGCTAAAAAAAATCAAAATTAGGTTTATGAGAAAATTAAGTCAAAACGAAAAATTATGTAACAGAGGTATCGGGTTAAAAGCGTCCTAAAGGGATGGGCATTCTAATTATGATCAATTAAAACAAAAATAATAACAATTACACAATCAGTTCCTATACCAATGTTAATTCTTATATACTGCACTGTTATGTGTCATTCCGTTTTTTTTAAACTTTATCAAACGCTTTAGAAATGTCAAGACCGATGGCCTTGAACTTTCCCTCTTTATCTAATGTACGATAAAACCCATCAGTTATTACTGTTAGTAAATCAGCCATTTAACGAGAAGATCGAAATCCATATTGATGATCAGAAAGTAAGTTATTAGATTCAAGATGAGAGATTAAGTGTTTGTTAATTAAAGATTCAAAAACCTTGCTTATGATTGGAAGAAGACTTATGGGACGATAGTTAGACAAATCAGATCGCTCTCCAGAATTTTAAAAAATAGAGATAACAGATGCTGAAAACAAGACTCCGATAAGCACTTGTTGAATAGTTTTGAAAGTATAGACGACAGCTCCGGAGAACATTAGTGCAAGACTTTAGCAGGTGTGTTGTGCGGGCCGCAAGCTGTAGAAGAGTCAGCAGGAAACCACTTTAGATACAGAAGTTGTAGTGATACGAATGTCAAGCAAGGCGTTCTACCTGATTGATTCCACTAGTTGCGTTCTACCTGATATAGTCGTCAAACCCGTTTGACGACTATATCAGGTAGAACGCAACTAGTGGAATCAAGAGATGAAATTGATAAAAAGTTCTTAACAAACAATACAGCTTTGTCTTTAGGTGAGGTGACAAAGTCTGAACCATACAAATGAGGTGAATTTACAGACTTGCCCTAATTATTGATACTTTTAAAGATTCTCCGCAGGTTGCGAGAGCCAACTTTTTGTGATGAAATAAGAGATTTCATGACCTGAAAATAGCAAGCTTTGAAATTAGACATAATCTTTTTACAATGGTTTCTAGCAGTAATAAACAGACATCTGTTTTCTGGAGAATTGTTTTGCTAATAGATATGGAAGTAATGGTTTCGATTGACAATTGCAGCAGCACAATGTGAGCAAAACCATGAAGAAGAGTGAGGCTTGACCTAGAATTTTCAAGAGGGAATAAAGGATTTCATGCCAGCCTGAATCCACAAAGTTATGCAAGAAGCACTTTCATTAACAGGAAGACGAAAAATTTCTATCGTTGGGTCATCACAAAAAAAATTACGGATAGAGCCCTATCCAGCTTTAAGGTAGTTGTAAGATGTACTATGGTAGGGGTATTTTGATGATAAAGAAGAATGAGACAATAGTTTTAGAGAGATCAATCTGTGATCAGAAGCACCTAAGGGTGAATGTGGAGATACTGAGCACTAACTAGAGTCAGATACAAAACTTAAGTCAAGTAGAAAAGGTAAATGATTCGGGTTGTCTGGAAAGCGAGTTGAAAAGTTAACTATTTGAGTTAGGTATTTTTATGCATTATTGGGCTGCCTTATTTATACTTTCAGTTGCAGCATTCATATAAGCAGTATAGGATACAGCATATTATAGTAAGCATACTAGACCGTTTTTTTTGGTTTAAACTATTATTAGGGATTTTCAGAAATAATATATGTGTTTATACTCATTGCAAAAGTTGCAATAGCCTGAAAGCCTAATCCAATTTCATGGAATGCAACAACTGAACGTACATTCACTTTAAATGGCTCTCTCCCGACATCATTTACTGTAGAAATTTATTCTCTCCCGACATCATTTACTTAAAAAACTGGTTATTTTTTTAACAGTTCTTACATTAACTTAATGTAATGTGAAAAGTCCATTCTCAGATCTAATCTATAAGTTATTTTTTGTGATGAGTTACATAATTTACATACAACAGTTTTTAAAATTTTCTTCAAAACATTCATATCAATCAAAATTTAGTAGCTCTGGTGGATGGCTTTCAGTATCTTTAAACCTCTTTCGAAAGAAGATTGTTGTTGAAGGGTACTCTGTTTTTGTGGTTGTTCATGTTGTGTTGAGTAAAAGTTTGTTTGATAATCATTTTTACAACAATTATGAAGGTGAATGAATATTAGTTTTTTTTAAAAAAAACAAAAGTTTGTTTGTTACCTTTCGGCATTAAACTTTTAAAGTAAATATTAAAACTTGCATAATTCCAAAACATTGATCATACTCAAGGGACGAATTAAGTGATCGTGAACTAAAAGTTCCGTAAAACATTCTGGTCTTTAAATTTTATGCTTTGTATAAAACTGTTACGAATGGTGGCGCAAAATTGGTTTTCAAGAAAAACAAAACTTGAAGACCAGAAACTTTTACGGAATTTTCAATTCGCGATCACTTAATTCGCCCCTTAATACTTTTTTTTTTAATTTTTTTTTATTTAACCATATCAATAAAAATTTACAAATCTCATCGTAAATTAATAAAATTTGGTAAGGTGTCACTCATAACCTTATAAACTAGTCAATGGAGTGACACTTCAAAAACATTAAGTTCTCAAAAAATAAAATAAAGAAAAAAAGAAATTAAAAAAAAAAAACGAAAAGTAAAAAACAAAAAAATGTATTTATTTATTTATTTCTTATTATTATTCAGTGATCAAAAAACAAAAAAATACAATAAATCTGTTTAAAGTTTGATAAAGAAGTGCTACACCAGGACCCTCTATGCTGACGAAAATAAAAAACACAGAAGCTACAGACAAAGCAGCAATTATGTCTCTAAAAGTTACTTTGTTATACTGTTTTTGAAAGAATCGATAGATAGAGCAATCACTATGGGACAACAGCGCATTCCATGGGACAACAACTCTATTTGAAAAAAAGTTTTGTCGGTCTTCACATTTTTGTACAAGCTGTATAGTTTTTGATTATGCCCTCTCAAAATATACTTGGCTTTACTGTTTGAAAGTTTTTGTGGAACAAAAAAACTGACAAGTTCGAGTTGATGCGTGATTTTAAGTTATTCGATTAGGTCTGCTTTTGTTACGGCGTTCTTCAAGTTTTGTTAGACCGAGCTGTTGGAGTCGATTATTATAAGACTGGTGTTTAATAGATGATTTTGTTTTTGTTGCTCGATGTTGGACTTTCTCGAGGATAGAAATGTCGGAATTTAAATGCGGCGACTAGGCTTGAACAGCAAACTCGAGGTGAGGGCGAATGTAAGTAAAATACAATGTGCTCCATAAATAAAAACTGCGACTCCGAAATATTTTTTTGAGTCGCCCCAGCATTCTATTCGCAATTGATGCAGCGGACTCTACTTTTGGTTTCACTTTAGGGTCTTTGAGGACCATCACACCAAGTTCTCGTTTGACTACAGTTTTGGCCAGTTTTGGCCGTCAATTTTGGCCATTGAGTAATTGAGCTTCATCTTGCTACAAGTGCGGCCAACATGCATTACTTTGCATGTCTCAATATTGAAATGCAAAAGCCAAATATGTGACCATTCCACTGCTCTGTCAATGTCGGCTTGGAGAGTGATGCTATCCGACTCGTTTTTAATTACCGACGTCTGAAGCATGCGTCTTTACCGCCGTCAGAAGCATGCAATCCGTTTAATTAAATTTACGGATCAATACACTCATTCCAAACCTTTTTTTATTAAAATGAAAATTCCTAATATTTACGAGCTTAATGTGTTTAGTAATTTATGCTTTATGCATTTGTGGAAAAATGACTTATCCCTACCTATCTTTAAAGTTCTCTTTTGTGAAAAACCATTAAATAAATACACTCTTAGATATAATAAATTTTTGCATAAACCTTTTTGTCGAATAAAGTTTAACCAATATGGCATTGCTTATCGTGCGCCATACCTTTGGAATAAAGTTGTTTTGCCAAATTTTGATATATTTTACACTTTTCCAATTTTCAAACATAAACTCAAAAATTTTATTTTATACCGATGACATAATAAGGTTTTTCTAATTGTAATTATGTACCTTTATTTAGAACTTTTTTAATTGTAAAATACGTTTTATGTTAATTGTAAAATACGTTTTATGTAACAAATCTTTTTGTTTTACTTTTTTGTTTATTTTTTTGTATAGATCATATACATTGTAAATAATTATGCTAAATGCTTGTAAAAGGTTCTGATGATAAGATCAGTACGATCTTCTCTCAGAAACCTTGTTTGTATTTGTTAAAGTATTGTATTACAACAAATTTAAACTTAAAAATTATGCCAATAACTTTACTGTCGTCAGCATACAGTTTTATATGGTGACTAATTTTGTCCGGCAGGTCATTAATAGAGGTAACAAAGAGC